TCAGTTTTATGCCAAATATCCTAAAGGTGCCATTTTACTCGGGTCCAGTTATGCTGACTTTCATTATACATTTGGCTCCTGACCTCCATTCCTGTACCTCATCTCCCATGATCTGTACCACACCATAGGATGCGTCAGTTCTTCTAGCCTCTATCTAAATCATCTCGTATGCTCAGGGCATTGGTTACATGATGGTTAACATAACTAGATGTTTATACCTCTTGTGCTAAAGCTAAGGCAGAAGTAGTAGCACTGGCTGTAAGTGTTATGAGAGCAACAACACTGGCAGTGATCAGCCCAACCATATGTTTATTCCTTGCCAGAGTGTGTGCTAATTCTTCAGTATTTGTAGGCCTTTTTCAGAATACCAGGGGCCAGATAAATTTACAGGAATCATAATAGAAGCTGGTTGATGTACTGCCAGTACAGGTAGACCATCATATAGTACAGAATCACAATTAGACAAAAGACTATTTAGACAAAGATAACATTCCCAATTAGTAAAAGATTAAGTGGGGTAATGCAGGATGTCACATTTAGCTTAACCCCAGAAGCTGCTCCATTCTGATCTATAGCAAACATAACATCATACAAAGCAGCTGCCAATTTCCAAATATGTCTCTGAAAATGTCCAGAACCAGCCCTCTAAATGCCCACTGTCATTTCTTTTTGTCCAATATTGGATTGATTTCCAGACCAGTCCATTATTGAGTCAGAATAACTGGTCACATTAAAGGAAAGAGGAGGGTCATTGTAACAACTTCTCTATTTGATTTTTCAAAGGCAGGTTCCACAGTCTTCCTGTTCTTTGTCCTGAAGATGATCTAAAAGCCTGAGGCAAGGCAGCTTGTCCAGTCTGAGATACAGGCATTCCCATCTTAATGCTTTGTACTACAGTCTTAGAGATAATCATCTTCTAAGTCTGAGTGTCCACAGAAACACATCCAGCATTGGTACTACTTCTAGTAAAACAAATAGGTAGGTACTGACCCATAGCAGTGTAATTCACTAATTTGGAATACATTCTTACTCTCAGACCAAGGAAATCCTAACAGCTGAATATTATTAGAGGTCTCAAGTACTTCTGGCCTTGACCTTACAGAATGATATACCAAAGGTGGGTCAGGAACATACTCTCAGTTACAGCTTCCCTGTCTCCATTGTCAGGCCACTCAGCAGGATCACTGTCAGCATATGGTCAGCATCATTCTTTGTCCCAGCATCAGCATGTCTCACCAATCACTCTGGCAGCGAGTGTGCTCCTTCAGCATCCTGTGAAAAACCACAAACGTGCCCTCTTCCCCTATTAATACTGGATCAGGACTATGCCATATTCCAGTAAGTGGATCCTTCCATTTCACCTAGGCATAAGTATGCCTAGTTGTAGGATGCCACAGACACTCAGCAGCAGAGAGTCCCTTGGCATCCAAGATCAAAAAAATCAAAATAAAATTTTGTGGTGAAAGAGTATACAACAACTTCTTTTTCTATTTTTTGTAACTGATTTTTTTTTTTAGAGCTCCTTGAGATTGTTCCATAATTTCCTGTCCTTGAGGACATGTGAAATTATGTGTATTATATAGATTATAACTTAAATAGAATTAACTCATACTTAATTCATATTTTAACATATTTATAGTTAGTGTATGTAAATTTAAAGTACATAATATATTTTATAGTTACTGTATATAGTATAATAACATATAAATTATATTCTATATATAATTTATATTTAATGCCTATAACTTATATTTAATGTGGGTAATTTTTATATATTTGCATATGTGAACATGTAAGCAATTATTATATACACGTTTTGATGTATATAATTGCTAACTTGTATAATATATGTTAGTTTATATAACTTATGTTTATGGCCACCTGCTGGATTGGATCAGAACAGGCAGATGTACTTATCTGGAGTCCATTTGATCTGCTACAGGCAGGGTCCAAGTCTTAGGACTCTTGATTCCCCAAAGCTTATGTGAACTTTGGTTTACAAAAGGGTATACCATTGAATTGAAATCCATATTTTAGAAAAATAGTTAACAGGTATGTTAGACATCAGTAGTAGACTCATGCCTTTGAGACTTAGTAAAAGCTAAAGGTTTACAGCTATAGATATGCAGACTGAACAGAGATGTTTTTAAGTTTATATTCAGAAGACAACAAAAGGGAAATTAAAATCTTGAGCTTATGGCTGAATTGTTAACTGCCAATGTCACATTAGCTTATCAGAACTCCACTGATCAATGTTAACATTCTGAACTTTGAGATGGCAATAGCCTGTAGTGGGAATAGGAAACGTTTCCCATTTTCTATACCTTAAATCATTTCTTACATCTCTATAACTTGCATTTATAGACCTTAAAACATCTTAGACCCTCTAACATTTATAACTTGCATTTACCAACTTTAAACATCTTTCATCTGAAGTATTTTTTATTTCTAAGTCATCATCATCCAACTTCTTTTTATATCCTCTAACCTTCATCACTTGCACTTATCAGTCTCAAACATTTTCTATAAACATATTTTCTTAGACTTTAACCTGCTGGATTGGATCATAACTCACCTGTGCCTTATGTGAGAAGGTGCGGAATGGGGCTGGAGGGGGACTGCTCCCAGCTGGTATGGCCCAGCACACCTCCACCATGGTGGTACGTGGCAACCTGCTCTGGGACTGCTAGCATCCTGGATGATGCTTCTCTCTCATGTCTAGGATCTAATCTATCCCTAATTAGAGTCAAAAGACTAAAGGTATCTACAGGCACTGTACCTGGTCCCATGCACATCATAATACTCTTGAAGTCTTTCTCTAACCTTCTAGGTTGCTAAATTTACTGTATCTTCCTCAGGAAACTGAGGACAAACCTTCTCTGCAACATCTAAAAAATTATGTAATTGCTGTTGCCCTGCTTTAGCAAAGCATATGATTGTTTCCATTTTGCATTTTTTCCTTTTTTTTTTCTATGTCTTTTCCTTTTTCCACACTCTCTTATCTGTGTTTGCCTATGTCTATTACTCACTGAGCTCCTTTTTTATTTTTTTTCGAGCACTCACTTTTTCCTCACTATCCTTCACTTGATCCCCTAACTCTCAGAGCTCCAGACCCACCCATCCCCGCCCCTGCATGAGTTCAACAGTCCTCTGAGGGGGTGGGGGGATGAGGATAATTATAGGAAAGGCAGAAAAAAGATTCGAGAGATAGATATGGGAGGACTACAGGTCAGTACCACATCAGCCTTGAGTTAGTTTATTTTTCTTAGCCCTTTTATACCTCACAGTACTGTGGGAAGCAAAGCCACAAGCTAGCAGAAACAACTGCTGAAATATACACATAAGGTATCAGTTCTCATCCCAAATCCTCCCTGTTCCTCACACCAAGGTCAGTAGAATCTTCAGCTCCTATAGCCTCAGGTGCATCTCCTCTTGTCATTCCGTGCCTCAGCAGGCCGGGAAATCTGCCATGCCAACACATCCTGACCTGCCTTGACTCTGCCTGGCAGGCTGACTTTTCTCTCTCTTCTTCACAGAAGCAGGCAAATGGCTCGACACAACCCTGGCCTTTTACCAAGGCATCAAGCTGCTTGCCAGTTTATAGAAGGAACCCTCTACCCATCTCTGTAGCATCTGGCACTATTCTTAGAGAAAGTAGTAGGTTGTTATTGCCCAGATTGTCAGCCTGAGCCTTTCATAAAAATAATCCATTGTACTACCTTCAGTTTTGGAGCACCACCACTCCCAGTTCTAGCTCTTTGGACCCAGGGGATGGAAAACCATTCTTTCTGTGAATGGCACCCCTGTTTCCAAAGACCGTTTGCCTTCTCCCCCTTTGGAGATAAGTCTTTCTACAAAACCCTGGCTGTCCTGTAGCTCACTATGTAGACCAGACTGGCCTTGAACTCACAGAAATCTGAATGCCTGTTGTGACTCTACCTTTGAGGAGCTTATAACTAGATTCCAAGCCTCTGGAGGGGGACTAAGCACACTTCAAAACCAGGTTCCAGCCATAGGGAGAGGAAGATCAGCTAGACTTCTGTTACGGGTACCCATTCTGCTGATCATTCGGACTGAGTAGCTAGACACAGTGTCTGACATATGTCTCATATGGTAGATCAGAGTCGCAGACTAGGTCTTGAAGAGGTGATGTCTCAGGTGGTCTAGAAAACTGTTTGGTTTCACAAAAGCAGCTTTGTAAGTTTTTGTTTTTGTTTTTTTAAATAGGAGTGGGGAGGATCAGGTGTGTTAGGACACATCTTTAATCCCAGCACTAAGAAGGCAGAGGCAGGCAGTCTCTGAGTTTGAGACCAGCCTGGTCCACAGAGTGAGTTCCAGGAAAGCCAGGGCTATGTAGAAGCATGCATGACAGAGAATCCAACATTTCATTATCTGCTCAGTTAACAGGTTCTCTGTGCTAGGACATCCCACCTTGAGCAGTTTCTGGATAATCAGAACTCTTCCTGAGATGTATTTCCTGTTCCTATATACCAAGTGTCACTGTGTCTGGGGTGACAGCTTTTTAAGTCACTGAGTCTATCCTTATTGGGTCATTTTGCTCCCTTTGAAATATTTTCATTTTTGATATTTAACCCACAAAGAAGTAAGTGCCTCCTTCCTGTTAAAAGCTACCACTTAGGTTTTTTATTTTTGTTTTTTCCAGTTCATCAGAATACTGTGTGAGTCTTGGGTCATGAGTGTGTCTGTACTCCAGGGAATGGTATTTATATTCTGCTCTCAAATAGCTGATGGGCAGGGAGGGGATAACTGCCTGGTGTAAAGGGCCACAAGCAGTGTTCCTCATGCTGAGGCTGGACCTCAAGGGTGCCATTGGTGACCTAAGGAACATGGCATATGGGCCTGGCCTGAGCAGCTTTGGAGCATTGCCAAGTGCCTGGGTGTTAGTTGCTTTTTAGATGAATGTCATTCACAGGCTGGGATCTGAAGAAGTTAATCCAGTCTGCCTGCTGACTCCTAATCTTGGTCTCCTTTTCTGGCAGGCAGAAGTGGAGGAAACACTCAAGAGGCTTCAGAGCCAGAAAGGAGTACAGGGCATCATTGTGGTGAACACAGAAGGTAGGTCCTTAGTCCATCCTGCACCCAGGCAGGCCTCCAGAACACAGCCCAAACTACATGCATCATGCATTGCCCTTCCTCAACCCTAATGAGCCCAGATTCAGCCTCATTTTCTCTCTTTAAAACATTTCCAAAGTTCTGATGCTATTCTTTTTTTTTCTTTCTTTTTTTTCTTTCTTTTTCTTTTCTTTTTTTTTTTTTTTCTGATGCTATTCTTGTGATTTTTGTTTTTCTTCCTTTTCTGAAGCAAGGTCTTGCCGTGTAACCAAGCTGTCCTGAACTTACCATCCTGCTTCTGCCTCCCATGTGCTGGAGCTAAAGGCATGGACCACCTTAGACATCTTAACCTAGTAAGATATGAGTTTTCTTCTCAGGTCCACTGCCCTGACAGATCACAGCTGTCAGTAATCTATGTTTTTCAGTCCTTGTGATCATCCAACTTATTTCTCATGTGACAATCAGAGTTAAGACTTTTGCTTTTGAGTTACGATCTCACTATGTAGACCAGGCTATCCTCAAACTCGAGATCCCTTTGCCTTATGGGTGGTGAGATTAAAGTGTGCACCATCAAAGCCAGGAACAGTGCTGAATGCCCTTAATCCCAGCACTGGAGAGGCACAAGCAGGTGAGTTTCTTGAGTTGAAGCTGGTCTGGTCTACATAGTTTCAGGACAAACAGGGCTATGTAGAAAGACCAGCTTCAGGAAAAAACAAGAACAGAAAAATGGTGATTTCAATCACACCTGACTATTGTTACTCATTTTTAAATGTCTACCTTGAAGGTTTTGTTTTGCAGATTTCACATAAGCAAAACAAACAAACAAACAAAACCAACCTCTTTTTAAGTACTGAGAATTGAGCGCAGGCCTCACATACACAAAGCAAGCATTTTATCAGTGAACTGTTCCTTCAGCCCCTTCAAGCAAAAATTAAAGTGTCAGTTCAATTTTTTTTTTAATTTGTTAGTATTTTTGAGACAGTGTCTCACTATGTAGCCCATGCTAACCTGGAACTCAGTGTATAGCCCAGGGTGGCCTAGAATTTGTGGCATTCCTTCTACCCGAGTCTGTCTTGGCTAGGGTTACAAACTTGAGTCACTATGCCCAACTAAGTACAGTGCTGATTAATCTATTCATGTTGTCCCTACTCTCTTGTGTGCTCACCAGATGGATATTGTGTATCCATTTGTGGTTTCTGCTTTTTTTTGTGGCTAATTCTCCAGTTGGTTTCTTTGTGCCCAGAGTTCCTTCTGTCTTCGAGGGGCAGGGAAGGGAACTATCACAGTACACTCTCTTTGTACTAACTCTGAGGACATGTGCTTTATTTAGGCAGCCTGTTAGCTGTATTTATTGAGAAAACTTGAGTTTAGAAATTTAACTGATAGACCAGACAGTGGACCAGACCTTTAATCCCAGGACTCAGGCAGATGCAGGCAGATCTCTTGCATTTGAGGCAAGCCAGGTCTACAGAGTGAGTTCTGGGATAGCCAGGGCTACACGGAGACAGGAAGAAATTTAATTGATGGTTGCCTCTCATTACAAAGCCAAAATCTTTTCTAAGATTTATTTTTTATTTTCTGCATATGGTGTTTTTGCCTGTGTGTTAAGTGTCCACCATATGCATGCAGTGCATGAGGAGCTAGAAAAGAATGCCAGTCCCCAGAACTGAAGCTACAGAGGGTTCTGAGCTGCCAGTGGGTGCTGGGAATCAAACCCAGGTCCTCTCTCTGGAAGAGCCATCTCTCTAGCCTGCAGAACCAAGATCAAATCTAGAGTGCACCTGAGGAGTCTATAGGCTCTCATGGCCCCAACAGCCCCTAATGACCAGCCTTAGAGCTTTCGTGCATGGCTGGTAAGAGGCAGATGCTGATATGTTCATGAATGTATCCTATCCAAGAGACAGCAGAGAGAAGTGGTAAAGCTCCAGTTGAACCACAGAGACCCTGCTTCTGGCCCCTGATCTGGTAGACAGACAGACAGACAGACAGACAGACAGCTGATAGACTGAGGTATCAGACCCCACTCAGTGTGCCGAGGCTGCAAACTCAGCTTGTGGGCATAGCCCAAGGAGATGGATGTCTGAGATAGCTGAAGCTGTCAGTCTTCTCCACTGAAGGCTGTTCTCTGACTTCAGTTCAGGTTTTTACCACTACTTAGAATGTGTTTCCTACTGTTGCCAGTCCACCTTTCAAGACTTCCTTAGATTCTCCTCTTTGAAGAAGCTAAGTTCTAGGGCTGTTTTCAACCACCTGTATCTCTAGTTCTGAGGGATTTGATCCCTTCTAACCTTCACAAGCTGCTACGTGCACATGGTGTCGTCCCCCCTTAGGAATACATACATATACATAAATATTTTTAAAAAGAGAACAGCAGCCGTGCAGTGGTGGCGTACACCTTTAATCCCAGCACTTGGGAGGCAGAGGCAGGCTGATTTCTGAGTTCGAGGCCAGCCTGGTCTACAGAGTGAGTTCCAGGACAGCCAGGACTACACAGAGAAACCCTGTCTCAAAAAACCAAAACAAACAAACAAACAAACAAACAAACAAACAAACTCATCGTTAGCTACGTAGTGAGTTCAAGGACAACATGCATGAGATCCTGGGCTCCAGAAACCAAAAGGGGGAGAGTAGCTAAGGATGTATCTTGGTAGACTTGTGTGGCCTCTGCTTTGTCAACAAAGTATCTAACTTTGCTTCCAGCACACTTAGGTTAGTACAGAGTGTGCACTTAGTAGCAGTATCTAGTAAATTTTTCTTTGCTCAGAGCTGGAGCTCAGACTTGTACATACTGGGCAAATGCTCTACCTACCAGCACCACTGAAGGGCTTGGATAGATTTTTTTTGTTCTGAGAGCATCTGACTGAACCATGCCTCAAAACTGTGCCTCCCTAGTAACTACGTAGTTCTGAAAGCTATGCAGTATTTGTGAAGAAAGGGGCTTGAACTAAGTTAGGTTGCCTAGTAGTAGCAGCCATCCATGAGGCCCCCACCTCTGTCATTCTTTGTTTTGTCCTTGTTTAAAATTCTTCCAATTTTTTGGTTCCTGCTCCCCTACCTCCTTTTTGGTTGTTTGAGACAGGGTTTCTCTGTGTAGCCCTGGCTGTCCTGGAACTCACTCTGTAGACCAGGCTGGCCTCGAACTCAGAAATCCACCTGCCTCTGCCTCCCAAGTGCTGGGATTAAAGGCATGTGCCACCACTGCCCGGCGATGTTTCTTTTAAATTACAATTTTATTGAGACTTAAAACAGCCAAATTTACTCATGCTTGCAATCCCTGTACTTGGGAAGGGGAAGTAGGGGATCAGGGATTTGAGGCTGGCCTGGGCTCCATTAGATACTGTCTCAAAAACCAAAATGAAACTACCGATTGTTGCCGGGCGGTGGTGGCTCACGCCTTTGATCCCAGCACTTGGGAGGCAGAGGCAGGCGGATTTCTGAGTTCGAGAGTTCGAGGCTAGCCAGGTCTACAGAGTGAGTTCCAGGACAGCCAGGGCTACGCAGAGAAACCCTGTCTCAAAAAAACCAAAAAAAAAAAAAGAAATTACCAAATGTAAAAAAAAGATAAGTAAGGGTCACATGTTCATGCATACAATTTCAGC